CCCATACGAAAAGCAATAAATAAAACCTAACATTAAATATGATAAACACTATTAGGTATGCTGAGCATAGGGTCTCAAAGATCCTACAGAACACATGGAGACCACAGGATTGTGCATTGTATACATTAGGCACTTTGCATTTTTTATTCTATATTAGTTTCCCACTCCACACAGGAGGCCAGCCCACCTGTGTACAAAGCTGCTCATTTAAAATCCAGCAGAATTAGTCACTCGTGGAGAGCACTTTTCAATCCAGTGAAGAACATTAGTTTGATCACAGGGATACTATATCCACTTGTCAAATGTCCATTGACCACCTACCATGTGCAAGCAATGAGACTGGCAGATGACGAAGATAGGGCCCTTGCCTATCCCAGGACGAGTTTACAGTCTCGAGAGGGAAGGCGGTGTGTGTGACATCTGCCTCACTGTTAAGCTCCCAGAACCGCAAGCACCATTCCCAGTAGGTGGTCGATAAACCGTGGTGGTGGCCCCAGGGCAGCTTTGCTGCACTGACTCCATCTCTTCTCACTGGAGTGTTTTTCAGGGGGTTCCAGCACCTGTAAGTTGATATAGTGAAAGCGCCACCTCATTCTTTCCCCAAATGATCAAATGTCTTCATTGGATCACTGGAGGCCTCTTTAATCAAGAAAGCCAACATTCTGGAAGGTAATACTGTGGTGTTTTTAGCACTCCTTGGACAACTTTTGGGAATTCCCGGTTTGGTACACTGAATGTACCAAACGGAACCCTAATGTACCAAGGTAGCTAAGCTACTTCTCCAGAAACCTAACTCACTACCCATGAGAAACTCAGGTGCCACGGCAGAGACAGTCCTCTGTGCACCATGTCAACGCCAAGAATGCATTTCCTATACATTGCCTAGGGAACCCCCCACCCCACTTATAAATTATAAAAATGACACTTCTAAACCATCAATGAAGAAAGTATCATCATTAAAGTGGTAGTGCAAAATAATAGAACACTTCATTACAAACAACACACCATCGACATACCCCCAAATATTCTTTTTTGGTTGTTACACAGTTTGAAAAAAGCCTACCCGTTAGCTGTCAACTCCTCACAGCAATCAAATACTAAGCTAAACAATGAATTTAGAAATTTCTTAGGCCAAATCTTTACAGTATACCAGCTATGAGTTGGTAAATACTGTTTTTAATCCCACTAAAGAGGAGAAATGCAAATACCAAGTAAAACTTATTATAAACTACAAATATTTCAATATTTACACTCAATATGAGTTTAACACAGTAGTATAAACGGAAGGTCAACAGGCTCAAGAATTTATCTGAAGCACCAGGAGACAGTAATACGTGTAGTTTGGAACTACAACCCCGAACGTAAACATATGGAAACACGTTCAAGTCACACGGCACCACACACACACACACACACACACACACACACACTCATGCACACATGCGCTCACTCATCTCTCATACTTTTCCTTCTCACAGGATATGAGCACTATCAAAAACAAAAACAAAAAAACCCACTTCATTTTAAATTAAAATGCTTAGATCTTTGAAAAATCTCTATTTGGATGTGTTGAACAAAGAAACAAACAAACCTGTTTTTGACTGTAGCCTAGGGGAGACCCTTTAAATGTTCACTTATTTTAACCTGAGACAACTTTCCTTCTGAAGATAAATTGCACTTCCCCCACAGATATTTGTATTTTGAATTTTTAAGACCTATCCTGAGCCACCAACTCAACATACACCTGGTAAAAGTGCCGTATGGAGAAAGAAGTATCAGAAATTTATCAAGAAATATGTTTCAAGGCATAAGTGGCATGTTAAAACACAAACCTGCGTG